TGTATATGTGTGTGTGTGTATGTATGTATGTATGTATGTATGTATGTATGTATGTATGTATGTATGTATGTATGTATGTATGTATGTATGTATGTATGTATGTATGTATGTATGTATGTATGTATGTATGTATGTATGTATGTATGTATGTATGTATGTATGTATGTATGTATGTATGTATGTATGTATGTATGTATGTATGTATGTATGTTATGTATGTATGTATGTATGTATGTCTGTATGTCTGTATGTATGCTCTTTCTATGTATGTATGTCTGTATGTATGTATGTATGTATGTATGTATGTATGTATGTATGTTATGTATGTCATGTATGTATGTATGTATGTATGTATGTCTGTATGTATTATGTATGTATGTATGTATGTATGTATGTCTGTATGTATGTCTGTATCGTATGTCTTTCTGTATGTATGTATGTCTGTCTGTATGTATGTATGTCTGTCTGTCTGTATGTATGTCTGTCTGTCTGTTATGTATGTATGTATGTATGTCTGTATGTATGTCTGTATGTATTGTATGTATGTCTGTCTGTATGTATTGTATGTATGTATGTATGTATGTATGTATGTATGTGTGTGTGTGTGTGTGTGTGTGTGTGTGTGTGTGTGTGTGTGTGTGTATGTATGTATGTATGTATGTATGTATGTGTGTGTGTGTGTGTGTGTGTGTGTGTGTGTGTGTGTGTGTGTGTATGTATGTATGTATGTCTGTATGTATGTATGTATGTATGTATGTATGTATGTATGTATGTATGTATGTATGTATGTATGTATGTATGTATGTATGTATGTTATGTATGTATTATGTATGTATGTCTGTATGTATGTCTGTATGTATGTATGTCTGTATGTATGTATGTATGTATGTATGTATGTATGTATGTATGTATGTATGTATGTATGTATGTATGTATGTAATGTATGTATGTATGTATGTATGTATGTATGTATGTATGTATGTATGTATGTATGTATGTATGTATGTATGTATGTATGTATGTATGTCTGTATGTAATGTATGTATGTATGTATGTATGTATGTATGTATGTATGTATGTATGTATGTCTTATGTATGTATGTATGTTTGTATGTATGTATGTATGTATGTTATGTATGTATGTATGTATGTATGTATGTATGTATGTATGTATGTATGTATGTTTTATGTATGTATGTACTGTCTGTCTGTATGTCTGTATGTATGTATGTATGTATGTATTATTGTATGTATGTATGTCTGTATGTATGTATGTATGTATGTATGTATGTATGTATGTATGTATGTATGTATGTATGTATGTATGTATGTATGTGAGTGTATGTATGTATGTGAGTGTATGTATGTATGCATGAATGTATATGTATGTATTATATATGTATGTATGTTTGCATGTTTTTTTTTTTTTTTTATTTTTTTTTTTTCGGTATAGAGGAACCCCTTTTAGGTGGTTTATCACCATCATCTGTATTCTTTTGCTTGAAATGACAATCCTCGGATTTATAGCACCACGATCCACAGTTGCAACAATCTGGCTGCTGACTACGGTTACGGAAATTTTTCTTCTCCTCCTTCGGAATTCTGTTAGGTCGACTGTCCTTTCTTGTAGAAATTAAATTTCGTTTCCTTTAACCGTGAAAGGAATCTGCACCCACAGACTTTCTGCAGCAGGCATAGCTGCTTCCTTATTTTGCTTATGCGTAACTTTGCCTGGGTGCGGAATAACATATTGCTCTTACGCAATTTCTTCCAAGGAGAAGGTGCCTACATTCTAAAGAGATAACACCCTAGAGAACAGAGTTGTAATTTTTGTAACAAACTCCTCAAAAGACGTGTTGCTAGAGGGTAATGTTTTATGAAATAGTTTACAATAGCCTTCATCAGTTAATCGTCCTGATGCCAACAATTTCTGGCGAACATTAGCAAATGAACTATGTTCTTCCAAAGACAAACTGCTCAACATGATTAAAGCTTTACCAGTTAATAAAGCAACCGCTGAGCCTCTGGGATACCCGCACAACGTTGCGCTTTTTCGAAACGCCAATGTAGGTGCGCAGATCAATATATGGTTTAAGGAAATGTAATATTGACGTATATTACCCACATCATCGTTTGAGTTGTTCGAATCTTTATCCTTACTCAGTGTTTATAAACGTGCCACCTCTTTGGCCTTTTCCACTATTGCAAGTTGTAGAGCTTTATCAGTCTCTACCATCTCCTTCTGTTAAACCTGCTGTGCCACTCTCTCATCTATGGCTTCATTCTCCGCGACTCTTGTTAAGGCATTTTTCTTATCTAGCTCTTTCATTCTAGCTTTCGTGAAGCTTACAATATTTTCAATCGTAAATCTGTTGACATTTCTATTAAATCGTCGAATGAAATTTTTTTCTGATAATATGAGATGATAGAAATGAAGGTGAGCAGATCTGCCGTCACCAACTCTACTAAACAACGACATGACTTTCCGAAAACTAAATAATATATTATGAAAACTTAACAATATAAACCATATGAGGCGGTAATCTAACGCTTAGGAAAATAGACCGAAAGTACATCAGATAATAGCTAACGATAACGAACTACACGTACAGGACTGAAGATAGAAGCTGACGTAGACACGCTAGCCATAAGTCTAAGAAGTGACTGATGCCGCTGTCAGTACCTGGTTAGTTGCGTATCCTTTACAGGACGTTGCAGTACCAACCCCAACAACGCCTGGCTGTTGTGTGGTTTTTCTAGGCAAATTTACGTTCAGTAGTTTGCCATTGCTTCCTGAACGGTCGGCTTGCTTGATACCACTGTCGAAACCAACGCAAGGCACATGGCCAGCAGCTGGGATTGAACCCGGCATCCCGGCATTACGAAGCGTCGCATCGACTTAGCCACAGAGCCGACTGTCAGTACATACAGAGGCAAAAGGAAAAAAAAAGCTACAGACGGCACGTAAGATGTGAATCAGAACAATGATACAAAGTTTAGGCGGGCTGCCTCCCAACCTATGAGACACAAAAGGACAATAAACGCTCAAACTGTGTGTTAATTTTAGAGGCAGTTCACTCTACCATGTCAGAAGATAGTTGACTCTACGACGTTGGAGAAAAAGGACACACAGTCAAAAGCCAGTCAGAACCCATGCTGTTCTTAAGCGCGCCTCTGTAAGACGTTATCAGGGAGCTCTGTGAATGTAGGATCTAGTCTGGATGGTTCCAGCCTAGTCTTGTGTACCCATGTGCCAGGCTAGGTGACGGAATCAAGCACTGATGTTGTTTGCAGAAGTTGCCGCAGTAACAATGTTCCAACGTGACGACCACATTGTGGATATCTTACGATAACGTGACAGTCCGCAGGCGGGAGATCTAGATCGTTTTTTACAAGGGTTTGTGTATCGGCTTGCATGGTGTCTAGTGACAGTATCTCCTAGATATAGGAATCTTTAGAGGGACAGTCACGTTAGTCACGAAATTTTGATTATCGCGATTTGGTACTGACTGCCTGTAGCAACCAAGGAACATGATGTGCATGCTAGAGCTGTCTTCCAGAACACCGTTTTGAAAGTATATATGTGGCAGGAGAAAGAATGACTGTATTATTGTTTAAATCATGTCTCGTGATGCAATGCATTTTTTTTTATGTCGGTGTGTGGTATAGTGTATAGTCTTTGGCGGTAAACCTGTGAACAGAGTCAACTGTTACTTTTAGGCTGGACCTGTTGACCTGTAAGTCTTGACATTATTTGCGTTAGACATTTGGCCAGTCTGCGTGTCAGACCGGCCCAGTACAAGGTGTGCACGCATCCTGAACATCGCCCGCATCAGTAGACAAAGACGTTGTCAGTAAAAGTCAAGATTCTCCCTCTACCCACTGCCATTATTGCAACTGTTCTGCTTGTTTTCACACAGGAACGCAAAGTGTGTATGGCTGATTTTTTAATAAATGCTGTAAACTGGTATTTAGAATCTGACTTCTTTTTCTTACTTACTTTTAAACCACTCCCTATGTTTAGGGCAATACATTATTCTCATTCCAGCTCTTCTAGCGGCATCAAACAAATACATATTGTACTGTTTTATAGTTTCCTTGATGTTTTCTTTCCATATTGTTCTTGATCTACCTCGTAAACACGTCTCTTGCCTCTTTCGATAAATGCCTTGTATGGTTTCTCAAATTTTCAGTAAGTAACCATATATGGCACTCACTAGTAGCATCAGTCGATGAATGTGATTTGTATGAGATATTTCTTGGTGTTGATTGAGGCCGTCTTGTGGTGTAATGCATTTCGTAATAGCTTCTTTTTTGAATATTTTTTTTTCCCTTTCAGGTCGAATTGGGTTAATGCGGTTTGCGTTCATCGTTCTGTCATTAGTCATGACAGCCGTAATGCTAAATGTTCAGTTTCCTGAAATGAACATTAAGACTGCTGTCACCATGTTCATAGCAAGCCTACACAACGAGAACATCAAATACGCATTCGACAATGAAGCTTACTACAACGGAAATTCTACTGACGAAATACCATCTCGCTGTGCATTCCCACAAGTAAACCCATATGATCCAAGCATTATGAAAATTTCAGGGATCGACAAAAGAACGATCAACTGTGAGGGAGAGTTCACGCCTGACATAACATATATTGAAAAAGGTAATAAACTCTTGGTTAATGTGAGCCGAGTTAAAAAATATTTCACCACAAAATGATTTCAAGGAATGTAGCTACAGAAACATTTATCGGCACGAGACAAATGATAATAAATATAAATTCAGTGAATGGTCAAAGCCTTTTAATGACAGTATAGAACTTCCTAAAGATACTGAATTTATAATAGTAGCGTGCACAAACAATAAATCTGAAGTTGTGTCAAAGAATTTCTACACTTTGATCCCAAAACGAGAACAGTTCGATGAATCAGATTTTCTCAATCTCAAAAAACGGCTAGTTGTGTCGTCACCGAAAGAAACGATTAAACGTAATTATGGTAGGGATGGACACATTAACTAGAAATCAGTTTCTTAGGGGCTGCAACAAAACGTATTCATATTTGATGAATTCGTTAAAATCATTTGATCTAACGATGCATTCACAGCTGGGAGATAACACATTTCCAAATTTTCTGCCGTTATTCGCTGGCGAGACGTACGATCAGATCGCAAAATGGTGGTCAAACAAATATCATTTGGACAATATAGACTTGCTCTGGGGGACATTTGAAAAGGCTGGGTATCGGACTTTGTACACAGAAGACTGGCCGGGAATAGGGGCTTTTCACTATCTAAAGAAAGGTTTCAGAAATAAGTTTGCCAGATACAATACTCGGCCATTAACTCTTGCAATGTCACATGAGAAGAATTTTTATAAACGTGACAATTACTGTGCTGGAAACCAGGTTGAGATGAACTTTTTGCTTGATTATGTCCTTCTCTTTCTTGACACGTTTCAAGGTAATCCTGTTTTCTCTGTTGCCATGTTTACTAAACCTACCCACGACAACCCAACAGACGCCAAAATGTTTGATGAACATCTTTTGAATTTCTACAAGTCGTTGAATCAAAGCGGCCACCTAAACAAATCTTTGCTAGTTTCCTTTTCCGATCACGGTGTCCGATGGGGACCATTGAGAGATTCTAAGAACGGAGTTTTTGAAGGTCGCACTCCATACACCATCCTGACATTCCCAGACTGGTTTCTGGAAAAGTACCCGGATGTGGCTGCAAACCTGAAAGTCAACACCAGACGTCTGACTTCTCATTTTGATACTCACGCAACTCTTCTGGATCTACTGTACTTTAAAAGTAACACATCTTTACTATCCAAATCCAGACGCAGCATAAGTCTCTTTCACAAAATTCCCTGGGACAGGACATGCGAGGATGCATCAATACCCACAGAGTTCTGCCTGTGTGGGTACCAGAATCTTGCAGATGCTGACACGAAATCGCCGATTTCAAAAGCCTTGGCAGAACTTGTCATTGAAGCGCTGAATTCAAAAACCGACAAAAATATTTGCGCTCCTTTCAAAGTTGATCAAATAATCCACGTTCTTAATATTTCACTGTACGATGCCAATTCCAACGGTGAGACAACTCTGTATAAAGTTAAACTCCAAGTCACACCAGGGTACGCCATATTTGAAGCCAGTGTTTATGCGACAACAAACTCAGCAGATTTCAGAGTGGCCAACAGCATTGATAGGCTAAACCTGTATAAAGGACAGGCGGATTGTATGCAGATTGCAATGTACAAACCTTTCTGCTATTGCAAAAATTTGTTACTGAGGGAAGAAAATACAAATCATTCTTCGTTTTATTAAAATATAACCACAGTCCCTATGAAATAATATATATATATAAATGCTGATCTATACTGTTTGAACAATTATGTGTTTGAGAATTCGCTTCTTTAGACGTCGAAGTACATCTGCCCGAGAGGCAAGGAACAAACAGTCTGAATATTAGCAAGCTAGATCTGTAAAACTGGTGTGTGCTCGGGACAGGGAGTGAGAGGTAATTCATTTCTAATGGGGCCACTAAGTTGATGAGCTATGAAATCTTTTGAGAGAAGAAAGTTAAATCTCTTGACCTGTAAGACCAACGGGAACATAACGCAAGAAAGGCATTATGATGGTCGACACTGTATGGTTGCCCTAGTGCTAGTCTACTACCTGCTGAACTTTTTATCTCGTCATAAAGACCTGTTGAAGAGCATCTAACTACTTGAAGGATGCAGCCTGCATTTGTGTCAAAGCAACTAGCTTATAAAAGTCACCTGCTTATACCTTTGGTGGGCACAATATAAACAATTTACGTTATGCTGATGACACAGTCTTAATAGCAACAAGTCAAAAGGAACTACAGGAAAGGATAGACACTGTGGTGTTAAAAAGTAGAAGAATGGGCCTCAGTTTTAATAATGGGAAGACAGAAGTAATGGTGGTATCAAAGAAACGAATTATTCCTAAGTGTGTAATAAAAGTCGGTGGTGTTTTTTTTTTTTTTTTTGGGACAAGTGTAGAAATTTAAGTATCTGGGCACGTGGATATCATCAAATGGAAGATGCATAACTAAGATAAAAAAAAAAAAAAAAACAGAAAATGACAGTAAAAAACTGCATTTTATAAAATGAAAAACATCTTGTGCAATATATCCTTGTCATTTAGTTAGAAAAAGAATTCTTGCTTGCTACTTACAAGCAGTTTTAACATACGGCTGTAAATCCTGGACAATCGGTATGCAGGCCAAACAATTTCTTGAGGCCTCAGATATGTAGTTTTACAGAACAATGCTTAGAATATACTGGACAACCAAAAAGAGCAACCAAGAAGTTTCTTAAGAGGCGGGAGCCCGAAGACAACTTATCAGAGACATCACAAGGAGACAGTCATCATTTTTCGGTTTTGTTATGTAAAAAAAAAAGTAAAGGGCCCTTTCCCACGCCTTTAGGCGTATAGGCCATATTGGGCCAGACCTTTATTTTTTTATAGACCAACGGCACAAGATAGGTGACGTGGTCAGCATCAAGACGGCCGCCTCTACTTCCCGGGACTGCACCCCGTACCCATCAAGGCTGCGTCGATCAGGGTCATTTGTGAGGAAACGTCCCGCTTGGCCAGGGAGCGAACCCACGACCTTCCGATCCGCTTAGCGGATCTATGAGGAGAGGGAAAATAGAACATGTTTTGACCACTGGAAAGATCTGTGGAACGTGTGATAGAGGACGACAACGAGAGAAGATGCTTGACAGTCTTGTTGCATGGCATAGAGGTGTGTCGGCACACGAACTGATACATGCTGCAGGAGATCGCATATTGTGGAGAGGCATAGTCGCCCACGCCAGTCGACAAGGCACCTGATGATGATGACGATGATGCTTATTCCTAGTAAACCATGATTTAATCTATTCTGTAAAGAAATGACAATATCCTTGGTGACTGCTAAAGATGTTGCAGAAAAGCCAGAGGTGATCTGACCAGGAGAGTTTTTTTATTCTCATTTGCTGTCTTAAAGTGGGACCATAAAACCGCTGGGCTGTTTTTAAGACTACTGAACATTGACCGGTTGACTGACTTACAGTGTACAATTAAAGCATATATGTACAAGTGTTTTCAATTTTTCTTCCAAGAGATACGTTGTTTTTCTCTCCCCGTAGATACATACGTATCAGTGCATTGGCACATCAGTGGCATATTTCGGGCCATTGTTCTAATTTTAAGATAATTAAACGTATGATGTTTGTACTTCATTCTCAGTGTTTTGTCTCTTGTAATGTATTGTGTTTCTGAAAGAATGCTCCTATATCTTTACTTTTAAACACAGTTGGGGACTGAGTAAATTGTAGGACGATCTCTGACTGGGTTTTTCAAGTGTCCACATGTTATCTGTAGTCAGTCCTACTAACCATTTTGTTCAGAGGACAAGCATTGTTTTCTGTATTTAGAATAATGACCTGGAACAATGCCTTTAGATAGAATTACGTATCTCGAACCACATCTACAGTCTAAAGGCATTCCTGAAGTAATGCAGATGATAATTCTTCAGTAGATTTTATAACCATACCAGAGAGAAGTATTTCTATGACAGCCGCATTTCTAGGTGTCCCCGTGTGATAAATACTAGATTAATTTTCTGGCATCCACAGTAACCCCTACCCCCCCCCCCCCCCCCCCCCAATTCCATTTTCCATTTCCCTTATCCGTTATCCGTTATTTTTCTTGTACTTTTCTGACTTGAAAAGACATTTCTCATAGCTAAGGTTGAATCACTGACTGAATCCAAAAAAGTTAAAACAATAACATTATGAGATATAAGGAGATATCTCACAGTTCGAATATAATGGATTACTGTATAAACTATATGTGATAGAAGAGTATGAGGAATATGTACTTTCCTTATGCTGATCAATTAACATGTGGTATGATGCATTGTGCAGAAAGAGTTTACAACTTTTCTTTTCCTTTGACGTAGTGCATTCGTTCTCCTATGTCTAAATAAACAAAAGCAAACATATCTTTAAAAAATGTTATACAAATGCAATATGAAGGTTAGTGTTTGGAAGGGCAGAATGTAGGACTGCGCTGCGAGGCCAGTTTTACGACCCTTTGAAAATAAGGCTCGTCCTTCATTCGTTATCAGTTAATCCTGATAAATCTTAAATTAAAATATAATTTACACTGTGATTAAACATGATTTTTTTTTTCCCAATAATAAAATCAAAGTTCATGACAATCTCTGTTTTATTTTACAATGTCTATCAGATTACGTCTGTCTTAGTTCAACAGACTTTACCTTATCTATATTGCTTGATGCATTTTACTGGCGTCCCAGATGGGGAAACATTTTATGATCCATAAATGCTAGTATTAAATGTGTGTGTGTGTTTTTTTTTTTTTTAGCTTTAAAAATTGCAATCTGGTCCATGTGATTTCTAAGCAGCGGTTTGATAGTCGCAACGTGGAAGAGACCAAAGCTTCATCACATAACATTTTGAAAGTAAAGTTGAGCTGAGCTGAGTCAAGAAATGACATCACAACACTCGGGAAATTTCCATACGCGCTTCATCCCCATCCTCAGCAGCCAGCGCAGAGTTGTAATATTAATAGTGCTGGTAGTAGTCTGGTTGTATGTCCGTCTTGACTTTCCTCTGAGTGTATTGTGCCGGCCAAACCCGCTGGTCAAACCCATGTTCATCATTCTCTATAGCCCATAAAAATCTAGTTTCTCTTCTTCTTCTTTTTCTTCTTCTTCTTCTTCTTTTTTTTTTTCTTCTTCTTCTTCTTCTTCTTCTTCTTCTTCTTCTTCTTCTTCTTCTTCTTCTTCTTCTTCTTCTTCTTCTTCTTCTTCTTCTTCTTCTTTTTTTTTTCTTTTTTTCTTCTTCTTCTTCTTCTTCTTCTTCTTCTTCTTCTTCTTCTTCTTCTTCTTCTTCTTCTTCTTCTTCTTCTTCTTCTTCTTCTTCTTCTTCTTCTTCTTCTTCTTCTTCTTCTTCTTCTTCTTCTTCTTCTTCTTTTTCTTCTTCTTTGCGTTTATCAGCTGTAAACTCTGGCGGAAAGGTTTCTCTTCTGACTTCGTTACTTGCTCCCAAAGGGCTCTAATCACATCTGCCTTGTCATTAACAATTCCCCACCAAGTAGTGTAGATCCAGCCAGTCTGTCCTACAGTTCCTTCCCCACTACGCCGGTATAATATTCTAAAAGACAGCAGTTAGCACAACGCAGCCAGCCTTTATGGCGAAAACATCCCCGTTGGCAGCTCCTGGCTGAAATTATTGGGTGTGTTCTTCTATACACTTATAAAGTTCAGTATTGTTTTTTTATGTGCTGACTCTCCTCCTGATATCATTGTTCTTAGTCGTTCAAGTGTTGGTAATCATGTAATTTATGTCGTGACTATTTTCCGTCTGTGTTCTGAGAACAGTGTTAGTGTTCATACTAATGGCATAACGTCCGTAAGAAAATTGTGTTTAACGGTGTTCTTTTAGTGTTCATATTCACATGCTTGCATTTCACAATTAATGCCATTTATTCTAAACATTGATGGACTTTATTGCATCTGTATTGGATTTCTTTGTTTATTCTTCCGCCTTCTGAAAACAATGGTTCCAGGACATGTAAAATCCTTCGCCTGCTTTAACTGGTGTTCATCAATTTTGGTATTGGTGGTTCTTCCATTTCTAAAGAATGTCATCACTTCTGTTTTGTCTACGTTGATCTTCATTTCTATGGGTACTCTAACACCCAGCGGACTGAAATTCTAACACAGTTTCATTTAAACTCCTCGGGGATTAAACTGCCCACACAGTTTTATCTAAAACCCCCAGTTAAGTCCCCTGGTACTCCACATGGTGTATTTATTCCCCTAGCCCACGTGAGTTAGCAGTCTGCTGAAAGTTCATCGTCCCGGCTGCTTCCAGTTGCCAGCTAAGTGATTTTGTGTATTTGTATGGTACATTTTAGTTTGTGTATGTGCTGATGAAGGCTCCATAGCAGCAACGTTCACTTTTTGTCTGTTTTTATTAAATTGTGAAGCTTGCTATTATACTTTTCGTTTAGTTTTATATCTTTTCCTGATCTCCATATCGTAGTGGTCGCGTTCTATTGACATTAAATACCAGTTCTACTGCTGTTGGTGCTGTGATCATCGGCGAAAAACAATTTATTTACTAATTCTCTTTTGTTGTCTTCTTTGCTGTTGTTAGCTAATTTGAAAATGTGGTCGACGTATGTAGTGAACAGTAGTGGTGATAGAATGCACCCTTGTCTCACATCACATCTAATATAGAACTTTTCTGACAATTCTGTATTTGTTCTAACCGCATCTT